AATTCCGATAAAAAAAGGTTCTATATCAATATAATTCATGGTTTTCATGTATGCATTGTCCCTTTTGTCATCAAAAGTTACAGTTTGTCCAGAGATCCTGATCTTCTAGAACACCTTTCATCAGACAGTACAATGTAGATGTTTTTACTTCATATCCTCTCTTACAATATTTTCCTTCATTGTAAAACATATTTTTCCCTACATCACTTCTTTAAGATAATTTTTCCATTGTAAAATATCCACCTATTTTCTTTTATAGAGCTCTGCATGTCAGGCAAACCTGTACTAAAATGAATGTTGAAGCATTTTCTCCAGTTAGAAGGAAAATAATTTCAGAGAGAAACTTGGAATTGCAGGGAAGAATAAGAGGGTCTGAAATATAAGTAACTTAGGTTGAAATGCTCATTATGCTCAACACTAATAAAATGGTTTGTGGTTCTTAATATATAGGTAGAAGTAAACAGTAATAATTAAGAATGATCAACAAAATCTCTTTAAGAAATTACTAAAAAATTAAAAGATTAGAAAAAATTTATAACTTAAAAGGGCAAAGTTGTAGCATTTAACTATTTTATTACCATCCCCTAAAAGGCATGAAAGGAGATAAGAACATAGAAGATGAAGCAAATAACAAAATAATAAAAATCTAGATGTAAGTCTGAAAGTGCAAACAATTAAAATAAATATAATGACTAAATAAGCCATATAAGAAAATAACAGGCTGGACTAAAAATCAAAACTATTTTCTACTTAAAATAGATTGTCTTAAATATAAGGAAACAGAGAAGGGAAAGTAAAAAGATGTATCAGGCCAAAGAAACAAACAAACAAAAAGGCTAGTTCTGCTTTATTAACTTAAAGTTTGCTATATGATGAGATCTAAAGCATCTTTATTAGATGTAAAGCAAGATATTTCTCAATAACCATTCTGCCAGCCTTCTAAAATGATACACATTTAGATGATATTCATTTAGAAGTTACTTAAAGCCACACCATCCAATAGAATAGCCACTTGCCACATACACAAAGTTCAATTAACATTAATTAGGATTAAGTTAAAAATTCAGTTAGTTATATTAACCACATGCCAAGATGCCCAATAGATATGTGTGGCTTTTGGATGCCATATATTGGAAAGTGCAGATAAAAAGAGTTTCAGCATCTTAGGAAGTTCTGTGGGACAGTACTGCTTTTAAGACCACACCATGCATCCTTAATTGGTTAATATAAATTAACAATGTTAATTTTTTTCCTGTTCCTATACCATGCAAGAATGTTAGAAATCTTAACCAGTTTTACTTAACCCAATTCATGTCCTACTATGTTAGGATTTTCTGTAGTTTAATTTCATGTTATGCTTATATATATTGATATGAATTTCCCTCCATGTATTTATGGGCAATATTTGCTTAAATTTACCCAATATATAGCTTTTGTTTATTCTTCATTCCTTCTTACATCTTTTCAGTATACTTTGGGATCACTTTGTTCTTGACTATATATATTTTTTCCTATATATTTTAATTCTGGAACGCTAGTGACAAATTCTCTGTTTTTATCTGAAAATGTCTCTATTTCCCTCCATTTTTGCAACAGATACCAACTAGTCAAGCATTCTAGTTAAAAAGTTTTCTTTTTTCAAAAGCTTGAGGAAATTTCATTGCTTTCCTTCCTTATTATTTTCTGTTTAGAATTTAATTTTCAATCTTATTATTGCTTTTTTGAAGGCAACTGGCATTTTTGTCCCTCTCATTGCTTTAACTTTTTTCTTTTTCTTTTTCTTTTTCTTCATCAGTTTGACTCCAATATACCTTGGTGTTCTCATGGGTTACCATGCATGGGGTTTGTAATATTTTTGGAACTTATGAATTGATGGTGTTTTGCTATTTGGAAAATTCTGCCTGGATTTGTTTCTATTACATGTTACTTCTCTTGGAATTAGGTGATATCTTGACTTGTTAATTTTTCATTGACTGCTATTATATACATATATACACACACACACACACACACACACACACACACACATGCACACACACATACAATCTTGTTCTAAGACTTCAGTTACATTATGTTAAACCTTTCCATAGTCTTCATGCTCCATGTTCTCTGAATATAGAACAATATTTTTATATTTTTCTTTTTTGTTAGTTTAAATATATTCTACTGAAAAATCTCTAGTTCTCTCTTCAGCTGTGTCTAACTTCTTTTTAATTCATTTTAATTTTAAATCCACATTTCATTTATTGTGTTTTTCAGGGTGAAATTTACATGGTCCTCTAAATATGCTTCAGTGCTCTGTCAAAATTTTAAATCTATGCTTTTATTTCATAGGCATATCAGTTGCAGTTATTTTAACATCTATGTCCAATCCAATATTTCCATTTACTGAATTTCTTGTGAGTCTGTTTCAAAAATATGGCATATATATATATATATATATGTGTGTGTGTGTGTGTGTGTGTGTGTGTGTGTGTGTGTGTGTGTGTGTGTGTGTATTTAGTCATTTCTTAACTTCTTGAAGTCTGGTTTGGTTAATTTTCCTGGTATATCAGACCTTACAACTATATCTCTATTATGTCTATGTCTAGCTCATCTCTATAGTCGTTTATAGCTGTATATTTATATAAACTGTATATTCATCTGTGTATATAGAAAACTACATCTACAATTATACCTATAGCTATCTATAAATCAGTATCTGCATTCACACACACACACACACACACACACATATATATATATATATGCATGTATATATAAAGAAGTAAATTAAGGCTCATCCCTCTACCATGTTAAACTAATCAAGTATTGAAGAGTTGGACCTGAATTTTTTTTCCCACTTTGCTTTATTTAATACCGCAGCTACAATTTACAGGTGATCTGGCAGAGTGCTAAACACTTTACATTTTTATTTTTTATTTTTATTTTTTTTCCACATTTCTCCCTTATTATTTTTAATAAACTGCTGAAGTGGTAGGTAGATGCAAGATAAAGGTAGAAAACATAGTTAGTGCTGTAAGAGGGCAAATGTAGATGATCAGGTCTGTGCCTATAGACTAAGTATTAATCCAAGCTAGACAAGGGCAACAAAACATCCACGGATGCAGAAGATTTCTCTCAAAACAGGGCTGGTGAGGTTCTAAGCCTCCCCTCTGTTGATCCCCAATTTCTCACCTGATGGCCCCCCTGTGACTGTGCCTGTCTTAGGTTGTTCCTCCCTTGAGGAATCTTACCCGTCTCTGGCTAACCAGTCATCTTCCAGGGCCATACAGGGAAATGTAAAATTTGGACCTGAATTTTATTTCAAAGGAAGGGGTAAATACTTATGCTTCACCCTATTCTAAAGGTGTTGTTAAAAGTATTAGACAATTTTGACCCAAATCATTGGGAATTTCTAACTTTCAATTTTGTTTACCTCAGCTCATGAATCTCATCAGCCTCTCTTTTGGACTCAACCACATTCCTAATCTAAAAGTAGTCACAAATATTATGACTTTTTGTTGTAGTTGTTAAGACCTCCCTGACATTTTGGCCCTGGTAATCTATGGACATTTTCACATAGTTTTCTTTGTCTAGATTTTCTAAACAAGACATTGGTTCCAAATATTTTTTTTTCATTTGTAAGCATATTGATTTTTACCTTATTCTCCCTTAGAAATAAACTTAAAATTCATAACTAATCATTAGATGGAAGACTTATTTTATAAAATACGAAAAAGTGATTATAGTAGGAGAGAAATGGAGTAAGAGTGTCCAATCACAAAACTATTTTTAGTGGTTTGAATGGGAAGGGATGAAAACATGAATTAGTGCAATCTAAAATGTAATACCTCTAAATGGTAGAGTGGTGGTTACTCATCAACTATTTTTTATCATATTTGTCATTGCCATTCCATATAAACACTTCTTAAATGGTAAGTTAGCAATGTTTCCAATCATTCCTTGAATATACGAGGCATTTTCCATCTTCTCTGCCTGGTTTATCCCATTTTATCTTCCTAGACATCTCCTTTGCTCCCTCCAATACTACTGTGTCTTTGCAATTCCAAGTAGGTTCCATCTTTTGAGATGTCATGGGACAGGTTTTGCTTATAAGTTCTTAATTCTCTTTGTTTCTCCATTTTCTTACCTTTACTACAACAAATTTAAAATGAGAATCTTTCTCTAAGGGCTGTCCTATTACCTTAAGAAATAAGGAATGGAAATATTTACTGAACATGTTTTAGCTCTGCCTTCTCAGTTTTAGGTTCCTTATCAAAAGCTACCTATCTTGTCACTTTACTATTTCTGGAAAAACTTTGTCTGAGAAAAAGCAGAGAATATTACCATGAAAAAGAGAAATAACATTTTTTTGCTAAGATACACATTAAATCATCACTTCTGATGATTTCAAATGCTTATTATCATTTAGTTTGAAGCATGAGATTAAACACCAAGGTGGAAATCAACCTTAATGGTTTTAGATTCTTCATTCAAATTTCATGATATTGCTCACTACACGTAAGAAGATCATATTGAATACTCATCAGTGAGATGCATATATTTGATCACTTTTACCAACAAATGACTTCAAAGTTACTTAAAATTCACACACAATCATTTTCAATTGTCTTCTATTCAATTTTTCTTTCATATATAACCCTAGCCATATAAATCTAAATATTATTTTTGTTCTCTGCATCCTATTAACTAGTCTGCTACCTTATACCTGTTGCTATTCACATGAGGATCCGCTTCTTATCAGGGAATCAGTTAAATTCCTAATTATGAGATTTTAATTTATAGAAGTCTATATATTCAAACAATAGTCTTCCACTACCTGTAATTTGAGTAAGAAAAACATCTGACGTCCCTAGAAACTAGTCCAAATTGCTAATTTCTTAGGATTTCAAAACCTATTTCCATGTGCATATTCATCTTTTTCATACTGTATCTTTTACTTATGATAATCAAAACCCTGGTCAATATAAGAACAACAAACAAAGCTGGATATCAGAACCAATAAATTTATTAGTGATTTGATTTTTGATACAATTTTGGAAAAAAAATCCAATAACATGAATTGCATCTCCAATTCAGACTTCAGACTTTGTTTGAATTACTACATGAATTACATAATTTTTCAGATAGTCTTTCAGCCAGTATTTGGGGCCAGAGACAAGGTAAGAATTTGATAATCAGAGAATAAGAAAGTAATCCTTTCTGCAGATGATGATGAGGAGAGACATTGATGATATCGGACAAGATTAAAAATTTACTATGATCAATAGAAGCCAGATCCACAGGTTGATCCGTAGCAAGAAGACTGGAAAGTCTCAGAAATCTAGTAGGATGGAAGGCAGAATCGAGAGCCATAGCTCAGAGAAGGAAAACCATGGACTCCGCAAGCCAGGGCTCTGAAGCCGAGGGATCCACAGCCCTGGGAGCAGAAGCTGCTGGACCCACAGCCCAGAGATCCAGAGTAAGTTGACAGGGAGGGACTGCAGAGCGTGGAGGTCCTTGGGCGGCAGCAGGACACCTGGCAGGGGCTGGACACCACATGGGACGTCTGGCACCTGGCGGGCTCACAGCGGGTCGTCTGACAGCCCCTGTAGACAGAGGAGCCCAGCTGGCAGGGGCGGGGAGAGCAGAGGTCGGTGCTGTAGACCAGGCTGCTGGGGTAGGAAGAGCCACAGGAGGAGCCTGGGTAGCGCAGGTAGCTCCCGAGGGAGCAGGAGGAGAAGTTTCTGGAGCAGCAGTTGTAGGACATGTTGACAGGAGATGTGAGTTCAGCTGAGTTACAGGGAAAAGACTCTGAGTTTGAATGTTGCTCTTGGGCTGTGGCATTTATACACTCTCAGCAGTGGGTGTGGTGCCTTAGAGTGTCATCTTTCCCACTCTTGGAGTTCCTCACTGGCATACACGTCACCAGTAATCCTCTTTGTAATTGCAGTTAACTAACTCTCTTCATCTTATATTTAAGTGTGAACTCATTTTGTTTTTATAGCTCCATGTCAATGACTTTCATCTAAATGCTATGATGATGTGTAGTTAATGCCTACCCCATCATGACAAGGAAAGCCCCTCTGATTTTTTTTGGCCATGACTATTTGTATATGTGCTCCTGTTGTGGCTGCAGGACGCTTTCTTCCTGGGGTGGGGGTTGCAGTGCCGTCATATCCCTTTTATGTCAGTGGCTGAGAAGCAGCAATATGATCTTGATGAGGAACCTAAAGACTGTGTCTGCATCAAACAAATGATTCACATTCTCTAATACAATTTTCCATCTTATGTTTACTATTAGCAACACTGACTATTTCAGTCCCATATAAAAGGGATCAAGAGAGATGATGAGGAATGGCGTAATCCTGAACCAGTGTATTTTAAAAGTTTAGTCTGTAGAAGAATGAGATCAAATCTAAAGCAAGAAGAAACCAATATGCACACATGTGAAGAAAAATAAACTGGGGGCACTATTGAGATTAGGTGAAGAAAAGAGGCCCAGTAGTAGAGAGAAGGGCAAGACTGTCTTTTCAGCCCCCAGACAACCTGGCTGGTCCTAATTCAGTCAGGTACTGTATTTGCTTAAATAATCAACTTTCCTCAATGTAAAAGTATGTTTAATTGTAACTCTGGAAAAGGAAGCCCAATATAGGACTTTTATAAGTCAAAGGAATGATGAAGTAGTTGACCTCACATCAAACTAATTATTGAAAAGCTAATTATTGAAAACTTATCTTACTGTCATTTAAGTTTCTGAATTTATTTTTCCTATGGGCTTATAGCCACTGGGCTAAAAGCCCTAGTCCATGCAGTGCTGTGAAGACTAGGCCTTTCATAAATCTGTGTTTTCCAAAGAACTTCTTGAAAATAATAGTCTTCTCACAAGTAAGAGTAACTTTTTGATGACTAGAGGCAGAACCAGTGTTAATCAAAGAATAAAGTCAGCAAACTGTCTACAGTGGCTCGGCCTCCTGGCTGCCCTCCCCACCCGCAGCAATGCCCTTCTCTTCCTGTATGTCTCTAACCCTCTCGACAGTGATGTGGAGTGAATGATACCAGTTGAAATTATAGATCACATACCCTCAGGGTCTCTGTCAAATCCAGCCCACACCATAGGTTTGTTCATTGCACAACTGTAGGACCCCAACTTCAAACTGGTGGCCGGTCTTTAAAAATCAAAAGGACGCACATAAAATATGGATTCCTGACTTCCTTTAAAAATTCTGAAAATCTTGCTAACTAGGCTCCCTCTCATGCACTTGCCTAGAACTGAATACAGGCCATGGAGACTACAGGCCATGATAAGTCCCTACAACGCTGACCACTCCTCTTTTTTCCCAACTCTGAGGCCAGATTTCAGTTGCCATTAGCCATCAAGCCTCTGCTATTATTTTGTTGTGTTACTTAATGACTCTATCACAAATGTGGGAGTGAGAGATGAATTGGGGGGCTTTGAGTTTTAAGACATGATGTGAAAGCAAACTCTCTTGTGCACTGGAAGGCTCTTCTTCTATGTTTTATAGAATATATAATGTGTCTGTGTTGACAGACTGGAATACACAACATCAATCATGAAACGAATTACAGGTCAACTGGATCACCTCATGTATGTTAATGATCCTCTGACTTAAAATACTTCACGGAACATCAGAATTTGAGTTGGTTTTATACATTGGGCAAAGGCTTAAACCAGTGGTGTTTTGTTTCTAAACATGCAACAGAACTAACAATGGATCGTTATAGAGCATACAAATCAACCAGAAAATAAATAAAAATTTTTTTAAACCCAGGTATTTAACCGCGCCCCCCGCAGGCTGCTCCACCTGTGATTCTGATGTATCATGATTGTACAGATCCCTCCCTTAAATTAAATGGTTAGCAAGAGCTTGCCAGCAATGCTCACAGTGCATGAAATCATACTACATTCCTGACAACTGTAACCACCTCTGTGCAAGGATTGTCCTTCCAAGAATACAAAGTACAGCATTAATAAGAGAGAAAAGGATATCTATTTTCTGTCAGTAACATTATAATTCTCTTGTAATAGTAAGGTCCTGCTAACATTATCCCTCACTTCCTCTTCTTACTTCTGCACGGATATAGTAGCTGTTATGAATGTTTAATGTTTAGTAACATTAATGTCCATCCTGCAAGATGCAGCACCTTCGGGTTTGAACAAGGGCTGCGTGTCACTACTGAGTGCACTGCAGATGGCCTCATGATGACTGGTAATGACTCACTATAAATACGGAGAGAGGACTAGCAATTTTGACAGACCATGGTAGCTAAAATTAGAAAGCAGAATAAAAAAGGCTTTTGAATTAGGAATCAGAGGAATGGTATAGTGAGCATACTAGTGGAATTGAAATGCTACATATAGGTCCATGGCATAGAAGGAAATCCACAGATATATGTTGATTGAATGAAAAGGGAACTTAGATAGTAGAGGTCTGAAATGACATGGGGCATGTAAGAAGGTTATGTTAATGTGAACTACTTTTTGTTCTTTCTTTGATAGGGTAAGTGAGCAAAGGTTGATTCTGTCTATTAACAGATTTGGAAACTTTTCCAGAAGTCATTGGTCAGATAAAGTCGGGTTTACATTTTTCCAGCAGGTATCGTGTCCTGGCTTAGTGGAAAGTAGTGAGTAAAGGGGAAAGTGCACACGCTAGAAGATGTGTGTGTGTGTGTGTGTGTGTGTGTGTGTGTGTGTACATGTGTGTGAACACCTTTCCTCTCCTCCCACTATGAGGAGGTTGGCCTCTTCCTGATCCTAGGGTGTCACCATCCATGACCCTATTTTGTTCTTTCTAAAGTTTTGCTGACCAAAAGCACACTGAGTACCCTGCAGAAGTTCACTCCGTAAGATGGCATTTACTCATCTAGCTTCTGAAAGGTAAAGGAGGACTGGGTGAGTTTTCTGTTCAGGAAGTCTCCTCATGGAGTGGCAGAGTGCAGGGCATGGGTGAGGATACTGGAGAGAGGAGAGGGGGAAAAAGAAAGCTAAAGAGGAAGAGGTTATTACAAGGTACTTTTGCATTTTCAAAAGCTTAAAAGCAGAGGGTACTTCAGGTTTCTTTGTTTCCTAGGCTCGCTGTCCCTTGGAATTAGGCAGGAGCCCTAAAGAGGAATAGAACCTGATTTTTCCTGGAGTGGCCCTTGTTTAGTATTGTATAGTTGGCCAAGCACAGTGGTGAGTGGACAATTGGAGGCACAGGAAGAGCAGAGGTGATGGTATCCCAGTGTCTGTTGGAGACACCTGGTGAGAGCCCCAACATGTAGGACACCTGTCATTTAGGGTCCTTGTTTTGGTGTCATTTACTAACAGTGCACACTGCTTAATTCGGTGTGCTTCTTTTCCCACTCCAGTTATCAAATTCTATGATGTTAAAATATGACTTGGCAACATCCATGGTGCCCAGAGAGTAATTCCCTTGCGAGGTCTATCCCAGTCAAAGTAGACTAAGGTTTGGGTGGGCGCCGTTAAGGAGCCATGAGACGTAGTACAGCTGGTCTGTTCCTGGCGAGTGTTGTGCATAGGATTCCTTCTTTCTTTCCTGTTACCATTTTTGATATTGACTTCTTAACTTATCCTAATACCAGGGTTTGTTTTTTATTTTTTAAGACCTAGAATTTAAAGCAAATAAATAAGGTAATCTTGGCATTGTGGAATGGGCTGTTTTGATCATCCAGGATCTTAAACTCTGGTGAGTTTAAGTAGTGCCTATTAAAATATAGATGTCAGAATCCCACCACCACAGTGAGTAGCTGAGGGAAGGGGCCTGCCGTTCCCACTGAGGGGCAATGTACCATAAAGGCAAATGAGAATGCCTGCGAGGCAGACCCTGGCACTACCTTTTCCAGCACAGTGATCTTGTGCCACTGACTTGAGCTCTCTGTGCCTCACTTTTCTCCTCTGTGACACGAGTATAATAATACCTCTTTCATTGGTTTATTATGAGAATTAAATGAGACAATATCTGTAAAACACCCAGAGTACTGCCTGGCAATTAGTAAGGAATATATGTTAATCTTTGCTCAAATAAACAAAGAAAATACTTTCTAAGTGACTCTGAGTTATCAAATTTGAGAATCATTGCTGTAAGTATTTTGAATATATTTTTATTACCTGAGTCATTCCTTGCCAAAAGAGCAAAATGTTTATAAGTAAATAAGAAAGTTGAGATTTCCAAAACACACTTGTTTAAAAGTAAGAGCAACTGCAACCCCATATCAAAAACACTGTTTAAACCTTTATGGAACTAAGCAGCATTTCAAAACTAGTGATAAATGATCTCCCAACTTAATGACTAAATGTGTTCATACACTCTTTCTTCTCTTACCCTGCTTCTCTAATTTCCCTTTCTTATTTCCATCCATCCTTTACTTTCTCCCTTTTTCCTTCTCTCCTTTTCCCTGTTCTTTATATTTATGTCATGCACCATTCATCTTGGCTACCTTTCTAAATTGATAATGTTCTCAAGCTAAGGAAATGTTTCTATTTGTATCATTGATTAAAGTTGACTCTCCTCTATGTTTATTTTCAAGAGTAATTAAGTGTTTCTACTCATTTCCCTTTAAATGCTTGAAATTGAATTACTTTTATTGGCATTTTATTTAATTTTTGATTAGACACCACTGAATGTAAAGTTTCCAGTTCACGTTTTAAATTTTGAAATCCCAATATCATAATGCCTTTGTAATAGAATATTCCCAAGGGCAAACCATTTCAAGATGATCTGCTACTGTGCCTTTGATGAAACGTTCACAACTGTGTAGTGTGGCCTGCCTAGATCTTAG